TGTTCTAAATGTGTTCCCCATGTGTTCTCTACATGTTCTCCATGTGTTCTAAATATGTTCCCCATGTGTTTGCTGCTGTTTTTCAGGGTCTGTGTCACGCTGTGAGGAAAGAAGCCTGGAAGTTTCTTCTCGGGTATTTTCCGTGGGAGAGTTCGCTGGAGGAGAGGAAAGTTCTGCAAAGAGCCAAAACGTACGAGTTGTTGTTGTTCTACAGTCGAGTCTGTTCTTTGTGAGACAAAACGCTTTGACCCACATTCACTTCACTTCATGTTCAAGTCAAGACTCTTTGCTGTTCCACATCGAAAATGATTGAAGCGGATGAGAGGATGTTTAGGTGCTTCATTTAATCGTTGGCTGATGAAGTAGCTGATTTACAGTGAATAACGTCCATCTGTTCACATAACTCAACTGTGACTAGATGCTTTCTCCAGTTTCTCTCTGTGCAGATTTCTGTTGTTGTGACCAAATAAATGGAATGTTTTGAGGTTTCAGAGCCTCTCGCTTTGTTCTCTGAGGGTCTGCTGTTAAACACTTCAGCTGCAGGTTAAAGGACAGCAGTCCTCAGACATGGAGATGCTGCTTGGCTATAAACTGTGTTTCTGCTCACAGCGACGAATACTTCAGGATGAAGCTTCAGTGGAAATCAGTGAGCGAAGAGCAGGAGAGAAGGAACTCCAGACTGAGAGACTATCGGAGTCTGATCGGTGAGAACAAACTCACTTTATTCTCTTCATCCCGTGGAAGCAGAAGGAGGCTGTGTTCTGTTATCTGGGGAATCCTGAGGAGGACTGGTTCTGGTCCACAGAGCACGGAAACCAAGATTACTCCAGAATAACTCTGATATTGTCCAGAATGTTCTCTTACCTGTATGACAGTGAAAAGTTGATCAAACTACGTTGTACGGGGTGTTTTAGAGATCCGTACCTGTGATCAGGTTCTGTGACGTTCTCCTCGTCCGTTTCAGAGAAAGACGTGAACCGAACAGACAGAACCAACCGGTTCTATGAAGGCATCGACAACCCAGGCCTGGTTCTGCTGCACGACATCCTGATGACCTACTGCATGTACGACTTTGACCTGGGTGAGACTTTAACTCTGTGTTAGAACCTTCAGAACTGGTTCTACTGCAGAACATCGAACAGGTTCTAGTCTTCAGCATGCATCATTGTGGAACAGGTGAACCTGCACAAACCTGAAAACACGAGACACCAGAGTTTTCACCGAGCTGCTAGTTTGTGTCAGATATGCAGATGAATTCAGATTTGTGCAGAATGAGTCCAAGATGATGTAAACTCGGTCAAACACGACCTAAAAGTTGTGCAGACTGGTGAATAACTATTTCTGTCCTTTTGTCATCCAGGTTACGTCCAGGGGATGAGTGACCTTCTGTCACCGATCCTGTATGTGATGGAGAACGAGGTGGACGCGTTCTGGTGCTTCGTGTCCTTCATGGACCAGATGGTGAGAAAAACCCTGGTTCTGGTGGTTTAGTGAACAGACAGAACAAGTGAAGCTGCAGCTGGAAAAACATAATCAATAACCTTGGTTGTTGTCCAACAGTCAATAATCAGCTGTAGTCAATAATCAGCTGTAGTCAATAATCAGCTGTGGTCAGTAATCAATAATCAGCTGTAGTCTAACAATCAATAATCAGCTGTAGTCAATAATCAATAATCAGCTGTAGTCTAGCAATCAATAATCTGCTGTAGTCTAACAATCAATAATCTGCTGTAGTCAATAATCAATAATCAGCTGTGGTCAATAATCAATAATCAGCTGTGGTCAATAATCAGCTGTGGTCAATAATCAATAATCAGCTGTAGTCTAGCAATCAATAATCTGCTGTAGTCTAACAATCAATAATCTGCTGTAGTCAATAATCAGCTGTAGTCAATAATCAATAATCAGCTGTACTCAGTAATCAATAATCAGCTGTAGTCAATAATCAATAATCAGCTGTACTCAGTAATCAATAATCAGCTGTAGTCAATAATCAATAATCAGCTGTGGTCAGTAATCAACAATCAGCTGTGGTCAATAATCAATAATCAGCTGTGGTCAATAGTCAATAATCAGCTGTAGTCTAACAATCAATAATCATCTGTGGTCAATA